ATTACTTAAGTTTGAAGTAAGCACTATGGAGAAAATTAAAGCAAGAGGGGGGTTAGAGGGTACAGGAAGTGGGGGGCAGGAAGTGGGGGCAGGAAGAAGTTACATTTTTAATAGGATGTCCTTGGAAGGCCCTATTGAGAAGGTGACCCTTGAGCAAAGACCAGAAGAACGGGAGTGAGCAATCCATGCAGATATTTGGGGGAGGAATACAATATCAGAAATTAATTCTTATACTCTCAGAATTATTCTCAGTGGAGATGACAGTTATGGTTTTACATCATATAATTGGCCAAGAAAGGCACATGCTAGAACTGTGGCAATGGAAGGATCTTGGTATTTTTGAAGCCTCCATGGAGATTGAAATAAATAAAATAGTTCTCAGGTTCTCATTGAGGATGTGGAAGTAGAATACCAGGTTTTAGAACTTGTTCTAAGTCTTAAAAGTCAGAGATGGAAGATAATAGTTTCACTTGGCAAAGTGTTAACTTAAGGTCAGGAAACAGTAGGAAAAATAAGTAGACATTCTGATAATATTATTTGTTGAATTCCTCCATGGCTTTCTTTTTTATTAAAGAGTTAAGACAAGGTTGAATCTCTTGGTTCTAGAGATCACATTAAGCCTTTGTGGCTAGTGAAATGGTGAGTTACTGGGAAAGTTGCTTCAGAGGTGTTTGAGGTGGAGAAAAGGATCCTATAAGGTTGAGGAGGTGTTTAAGTTACCTTATCTTAATTCATTGATTCTAAGATGCCATCAATTGTGACACTGTTATTTTATGTTCAGCTAATAAAGAAACAAAAGTGCTGCCAATTAGACTAATGTTTCTTTGTACAAAGCATCCAGATTTCAGAGATGTTAATATGGGGGAAAAAGTGTATTTTAGAATTGAAATTTGGTAAGTTGTGTTGAAGATATAAAGTCATAAAGAGTCTGAATTTCTTTTTATTTTTGGATAACTAGAACTACGGATAATCTCTTAAAACTAAGAGCTTCATCTCATACTGTAGATAATAAATGCATGGACTTGAAAAAATAATCTCTGAAGTTATAGCTGAATTATAAATGAATTTAAGAGTAAATATGCAGATGATTTTCACAATAAGTGATTTATTTATTCTGCACTTTAATTTTTAAAAATTTTATTTATTTTGTTGTTGAGAATATACACAGCAAAACACTAATTCAACAATTTCTACATGTACAATTCAGTGACACTGATTACATTCTTTGAGTTGTACAACCATTCTCACCCTCCTTTTCTAAGTTGTTCCTCTCCCATTAACATAAACTCACTACCTCCTAAGCTTATATCTAATCTTTGGAGTTGCTGTTCAGTTTGATCCCAGATAGATAGTTGTTAAGAGCGTTAAGGCTCAAGGCAGACATTTTTTACTAGTTAAACTAAACAATTGTTTGATTTTAAGAATACTTCCAAGGATATTTTTGATTTAAGGTTTAAAGATTATCTCAGGGCAGTAGTTTCAGGGGTTCATCTACCCTCCATGGCTCCAGAAAGTCTAGAGTCCATGAGAATTTGAAATTCTGTTCTGTATTTTCTCCCTTTTGATGAGGATTCTTCTACAGAATTTTTTTTTTAAATTTATTTTATTGTTGTATTTTAAGTGAAAGTTTACAATTCAAGTTAGTCTCTCATATAAAAATTTATACATACATTGTTATATGACCCTAATTGCTTTCCCTATACGGTGACAGCACACTCCTCCTTTCCACCCCTAATTTCCCATGTACATTCAGCCAGCTCCTAACCCTCTCTGCCTTCTCATCTCAACTCCGGACAGAAGCTGCCCTTTTAGTCTCATGTATCTACTTGAGCTAAGAAGCACACTTTTCACGAGTATGATTTTATGTCCCATAGTCCAGTCTAATCTTTGTCTGAAGAGTTGGCCTCAGGAATGGTTTTAGTTCTAGGTTGACAGAGAGTTCGGGGGCCATGCTTTCTAGGGTTCCTCCAGTCTCAGTCAGACCATTAAGTCTGGTCTTTTTACTAGAATTTGAGTTCTGCACCCCACTTTTCTCCTGCTCCGTCAAGGACTCTCTGTTGTGTTTCCTGTCAGGGTGGTCATTGGTGGTAGCCGGGCACCATCTAGTTTTTCTGGTCTCAGGCTGATGGGGTCTCTGGTTTATGTGGCCCTTTCTGTCTCTTGGGCTATCTTCTACAGAATTTTTGATCCAAATATTCAGTAATGGTAGCCAGGCACCATCTAGTTCTGGTCTCATGGCAAAGGAGGCAGTTGTTCATGGAGACAATTAGCCACACATTCCATTTCCTCCTCCTATTCCTGGCTCTCCTTCTTCCTCTGTTGCTCCAGGTAAATAGAGACCAGTTGTGCCTGGGATGGCCACTTGCAAGCTTTTAAGACACAATGAATTAGGAGGTAGAACAGAAGCACTAAACTCATTATTAGGACAATTAACTGGGATATCCCATGAAACCATGACCCTAAACCTCCAAAGCAAGGAACCAAATTCCATGAGGTTTTTGGTTGTACATAAGCAGCCTCGGCAGCTACTTTTTTTTTTTTTTTTGTCATTGTTGTAAATATTTCTATCACAACTTTTGCCAATTCAACTTTTTACAGGTGTACAGGTTATTTACAGTAATTACAATAATTGGCTGTGCACTCCTATCCTTAATCAATGCAATTTTTCCATCACTGTTAACCCTCCCTTCCTCCTCCCTCCTTCTCCTGGTAACTGCTAATAAACTTTGGTCTCTATATATTTGCCTTTTCTTGTCTTTTTATATAAGTGAGATCCTACAATATTTGTCATTTTGTGAATGACTTATTTCACTCAGCATAATGTCTTCAGTCTCCATCCATATTGTAGCATGTATCAAGACTTCATTTTTCCTGCTGGCTGAGTAGTATTCCACTGTATGTATGTACCACATTTTGTTTATCCATTCATCTGTTGATGGGCATTTAGGTTGTTTCTACCTTTTAGCTATTGCGAATAGTGCTACATTTTATGTATTTTGTGTTTTACTGTTTGTGCTTTTGTTATTATATTAGATAATCCATTGTTAAAAGCTAGGCCTGACAGCATTGCTCTTGGATTTTCTTCTAAGAATTTTATGGTTTTAGTTTGCACATTTAGGTCCTTAATCTGTTTTGAGTTTGTTTTTGTGTATGGTGTGAGGCATGGATCCTGTTTCATTTTTCTGCATGGGGAAATCTAATTTTCCCCGTGCCATTTATTGAAGAGACTTTTCTTTCCCCATTGAATCAACTTAGCACCCTTGTAAAAAATCAGTTACTATAGATATGTGGGTTTATTTCTAGACTCTGAATTCTATTCCATTGATCTATGTGTCTATTGTTATACCAGTATCAGGCTGTTTTGATTACTGTAGTTGTATAGTATGTTTTAAAATCAGAAAGTGTGAGTCCTCCTCCTTTGTTCTTCTCTATCAGCATTGCCTTAGCTATTTGGGACCTCTTGCCCTTACATGTAAAGTTGAGGATTGTTTTTTCCAGTCCTGTATAGAAGGTCGTTGGAATTTTGATTTGGATTGTGTTGAGTCTATAGATTGCTTTGGGTAGTACTGACATCTTAACAATATTAAGTCTTCCAATCCATGAACATGGAACATCTTTCTATCTTTTTAAGTCTTCTTTGATCTCAGCAGTGTTTTGTAATTTTCATTGTATAAGTCCTTCACATTCCTGGTTAAATTTGTTTTTTCACATAGTTTAATAAAGGAAAATGTGGTTGATTACAGTATATTCTTATTATTTAAGAGCAAATATAAGATTTCTCTTGTAAAGCAGTTGCAATCAGTGTTAAAATGACCTGCTGTTGAAAAATAATTTACAAAATGGTGTTATATTGTTATTTTTTCCTTCCCTGTGCATTTAGGTATCTTACGTCATTCAGGCTGAAGGAAAAAAACGTATTATTCACCTGGAAATGAACAAGTAAGAAATTTGATTTACTTTAGCTTTTCAGTATTTTTTTTTTTTTATACTCTCCATTTCTTTTCCAGTTAGTTTAGTAGGTGGATAAGAAGTGAGAATAATGAGAATAGAAGCATGGGAGAAAAAACATACTATTTTGAATTTCCATTGACCTTAAATCAAGGTAAAATAAGTTTAAATTAAAGTAAGAAAAAGTTGTATTTAAGAAGAAAACTTTTTAATCATGATTGGCCCATGGAAACAATTGAGGTAGGTGAAAAAGTCTTTAGTAGTCTCTCATCTCCCCTTCTCATTTTGGCATGTTTTCATCTGATCCTACTGCAGTTAATATGTGTTCTTTGGCTGCATTCAAATGCCAAGCTTCTAACTATGCTGAGCCGCCTACACCCTTGTGGTCTGTCCTGTTCTCAGGATTCCCTCTGTCTCTTTTTGGACCTAGCAAAACTTCCAATGTCTTTAGTGAAAGATCCCAGAAAAAAAGCCATCTAATAGACCCATTTACACTCTGAGATGTGAATGATGGATTGTAATGTGCTACTCTCTAGGAAAGTGCTCCTCAAAATGTGGTCCTGGTACCAGCTGGAGTTTGTTAGAAATGCAAATTCTCAACTCTGGAATGAATCAGAATTTTGGGAGATGGGTCCCAGAAATCTATGTTTTAACTAGTTTCTCAGTTTGTTTTTATGCATCCTCAGGTTTGAGAAGCACTGTTTATCTTAGAAGAGGTTGTTGACCCAAAGTTACTGAGTCTCCTTGACTGAATTGCAGGCAGTGTGAGAGACATTTTCAGACAGAGAGGCTTCCGTAGGCCTTCTACTCTTCTTGATGGACGCTAACATTTATTGAACATTTTCTGTGTTCTAGATACAATACCAGGTGCTTTCATCTGTATTAGTTATTTAAATCTCACAAAACCCTGAGTGATCCTGCTGGCCTCCAGTGTAATGATATTAGTATGTACAAAATTTTAATAGGTCTAAATATTGTCTCCTAATCTTCTTTACTACAAGGAAATGAAAGTTAATTCAGATTATTGCAATAAAATAATGATTCTCTATGAGGAACCCTGGTGGCTCAGTGGCTAAAGTGCTCAGCTGCTAACGGAAAAGTCAGCAGTTTGAACCCTCCAGCCACTCCATGGGAGAAAGATGTGGCAGTCTGCTTCCTTAAAGATTTACTCCCTTGGAAACCCTATGGGTTAGTTCTAGTCTGTCCTATAGAGCTGCTTTCACTCGGAATCTACTCAATGGCAATGGGTTTGGTTTTAGTTTTTTTTTTTAATGTTTGTATAGTTTTCAGCTTATAAAACATTTTCATAACCATTATCTCACTTATCATATTGTTATAACAACTTTGCTATAGAACACTGTTTATGGTCGTCATTTATGCATAACATCACTCAGGTGCAAGAAAATTAGTTGACTTGCTCAATATCACGCAGTTTGTGTTAAAAGTGGGACACAAATCTAAGTCATTTTACCTTCATTCTAGTAATCTGTATATCTGGTCTATATTTCTATGCTTCTTGAATTTCTGAACAAGTGGTAATTTTACAGGCATTTATAATGCCTTTGTTAGGCCTTTGAACATCTTTGAAAGGTGATCACCAAAGCAAGTGATTACTAATGAAAAAAAGTTAGGGTAGATAGCCTATAATAAAATGGCTCAGATATGCTCTAGTAATGAGGGTATTAAGAAATTCAATAAAGGAATGACTATATGAGAGTGAGAGGAGCCCTGGTGACGCAGTGATTAAGTGCTCAGCTGCTAACTGAAAGGTCTGCGATTGGAATCCACCAGCTGCTTCCAAGGATGTGGCAGTCTTCTCCAGTACAAGATTCACATCCTTGAAAACCCTTTGGGGCAGTTCTGCTCTGTCCTGTAGGGTTGCTATGAGTCAGAATCAGCTTGACAGCAGTGTGTTTTGTTTTGGTTTTATGCACGGGTGAATGCTTGTTTTCTTTTCTCATTGTTGGTAGAATAGAGGTCTTAACTTTTTAGTTCATGAATCCCTTGAGAATCTGGTTAAAGTTATAAAGCTTCCTTATAGAAGAATGTGCATAATCACATCTGTTGGGATATTTGACAGCGGTGGGGGTGGGGTTTTTGGGACAGAAAATGACACCCCTTTTTTCTGCCTATACTGAACAAATTTAAATATAAAATAGGAAATGAAGTTAGATAGGAGATCAGAATATCACTTTTATTACTGATAAAGGCTAGGTTGGCAGATTCAGCTTAGAATGAGAGCCTGATGGACCTAACCCCAGTATTAGGCAGATGTAGCCATTCATGTCAGCATTGCATAGCAGCTCTAGAGAAGCATAGTGGAATTTGTGCTCTTGCTGGGCAGGCAGTGACTTCCAAAGACCAAAGAGCACAGAACAAAGCCAAGCATCTCTAGTTTTTTCTTTTCAAATTTTCCACTGGATGGACAAGGGATGTTTATGTATGGAGGAGTATGGGAGAAGGAGAGACAGTGCATTGATTGCACAGGATCAATTTATTGAAAAGACTCAAGAGAAAGAAAGCTCAGATATTCATCAAGGGGTTTGAAAACTTCCAGGCAACACCCCCCTCCCCCCAGGGTCCTTTCTCAATTGCACAGATGTGCTTTGTCTTCAAATCACAAACCACTGAGAAATATGTGAGGTGTCTTACTTTCAGGGGAGTGCAGGTACTAGTTTACCGAAGGGGTCTTTTATACTAGGCTGGTCATGTAGCTAGAGGCAGACTGTGTAACCAGTTAAACAGGATGCAAACTATCTATCTCTCCATCTCTAAACAGTATAGACAAGGTGGTCCTGGGTGCCTCCAGCGGCGTTTTGAACTTTAAACAAAAAAAAAAAAAACAGAACAAAACAAACCAAACCCATTGCCATCGAGTTAATTCTGACTCATAGCGACCCTATAGGACAGAGTAGAAGTTTAAATAGTGTAAGTCACTAGCTAGCATATTGTATCCCTGCCTTGTCCATTTAAGCTGCCGCAGTCCTATTGCAAGATAATCCTACCTGACACATGGGGTTGCACTCCTGAGCTCCCTTCACATGGAAGGAAGCTTCAGGAATAATTGTTTCCCCCAACAGCTGACACAGAATTTTGCCTCTGTACTTAGGAGGGTAAGGCACTGCATGCTGCTGGTTTCTATAGAACTTTTAGGAAAAAACAACAGCAACAACATTTATTTCTTTTTTGGAAATATGATGTACTGTGAATAACTCAATTTATATTTTTCCTGTAAGATGTATCAGAAAAATTTAAGAACATTACTTATGTTGTGTTAAGCTTTTTGTAACCAGCACTTAATGACCATTAGAACAAGTGTTCAGGTGAGCATTCTTCATGAGTAAGTAATAGACACTATTTGAGATTCAAGTCCATTGATAAGCTTTTAGTTTTATGGTAGTCCATTCTTTAATAATATATCAGGTGAAGGTTTTTGTTTATTCATCTCTTAGAGGAATAATGTCTTATGGGTTGTGTCCTTGGTTGTATAGAGATAAAACAATTCTAAATGATGTGTTTTTATTCCTCTCTCAGAGACCTTTTGCCCAAAGATTTTGTAGTTTATACCTACAACAAGGAAGGGGCTTTGATCTCTGACCATCCTAATATACAGGTAATATGTTTTCCTCTTGATCCTATGGCAAGATTTAAAACAATTATACATTTAAAATGAGTTCTGTTCAGGTACTCTGGATTGTTACATTTCACAACTCCAAAGAGCGCTGTTCACGTTATAGCGTGTGGAGCTGTCCTAGAGGGTTGGTGAGTACATTTAGGTAAACTAAACTGCAGCTTACAGCTCTTCAGGTGCGCAACAGTTAACATGTTTTTTGTTTTTAAAGACCACGAAAATAATCTTCTATTTAATGATAATCCTTGCTGTTTTTGAAGGAGGAAAATTTGAAATATTTTTAAAATAGCAGTTTTTGATTTTTCTGCTGAAAATTAATATCTTTGAAACCACATCTTACTTCCTTATTAAACCATCTGATTTGCTATTAGTATTTAAGAAAGAACAAATGCTTGTTTGCTGTTACGTGTTCTAATTTTTAGCTGAAAACAGTTCTTTCCGAAAGAGGTGTGGTCCTCTCTGTGTCAGAGAACAGAGTCCTCCTGGGGACAGAACTGGCCGAGAATACTTGAAGTAATGGGCAGATGTCTAATTTGGCTTTATGTGTTGTTTAGATAGAGAATAAGCATTTCTAGTTTTGTTCAGGAAGAGTGTTTTATAGCCCTTTTTGACAGTTCGGTACTGTGTGTTTTTCTGTTCGAATAGTTTTTATAAGGAATCTTTGTTCCCGTTAAATGTGGTTTTCTTCCCCCCTGAACTTTGTAATGTTCTACTAGATTGAATTATGTTAATTATACACTTTGCAGCACTCTTGAAATAAATGGAAGGCAAAACCTTTATTTAAGACTAATTATTAGTACTTAAAGAAGAAGGAAATACTGACTTATTTATGTCCTTTTCTGGCCTTCTTTCTAAGTTCTTTGTTTTAGTGCTCTCTTTGTCCAATGTTTAATAGAAAATTAATAGAGGATTTACATTTAGCATAAGACAATTTACATTATAGCATAAGACATTAAAAATCATCCATCCATCCATCCATTCAGTCCATCCAGTCCATCCAGTCCATCCATCCATCCATCCATCCATCCATCCAGCCAGCCAGCCAGCCAGCCAGCCAGCCAGCCAGCCAGCCTGCCGTCCATCCATCCATCCAACTATGGCATGAGGCTAAAGAGGAGCCCTGGTGGTGCAGTGGTTAAGACCTCGGCTGCTAACCAAAAGATCAGCAGTTTAAATCCACCAGCAGCCCTTGGAAACCCTATGGGGCAGTTCTACTCTGTCCTTTAGGGTCACTATGAGTCAGAACTGACTCGACGGTAATGGGTTTTGGTTTTGGAGGCTAAAGACCACACAATTTTTGCCACTGGACAAAAACAGTAATCTTAAAAAAGAGGTTTTTTTTCCTTGGAGAAATTTCTTGGCATGGGTTCTGGAGATACATGCTGTTTGGGCTTGAGTCTTGGCTTTGTTACTTTACTTATTGCTGGTTAAGTTACTTTAACTTGTTTGTGCCTCAGCATCCCCAACTTAAAATGAGAATAATAGTTGCTGCTTCATGAAGTTATTGGGAGGCTAAAACGGGCCAATATTTTGCAAGATGCTTAGAACAGTCAGTCTGATAGTTTTTGTTTTTTAAGCATTTTTTTTATTGTACTTTAGATGAAGGTTTACAGAACAAATGGTTTCTCATTAAACAGTACACCTATTGTTTTATGACAATGGTTAACAACCCCACGACATGTCAACACTGTCCCTTCTCAACCGTGGGTTCCCTATTACCAGCTTTCCTGTCCCCTGCTGCCTTCTAGTCCTTGTCCCTGGACAGTTGTGCCCCATTAGTCTCGTTTTGTTTCATGGGGCTGTCTAATCTTTGGCTGAATGGTGAACCTCGAGAGTGACTTCATTACTGAGCTATAACGGTGTCCAGAGGCCATACTTTCTGGGTTTCTCCAGTCTCTGTCAGGCCAGTAAGTCTGGTCTTTTTTTGTGAGTTAGATCCCGGTTTTTGTGTGTTTTGATCCTGGTCAGAGCAGTCAGTGGTGGTAGCCGGACACCATCTAGTTGTACTGGGCTCAGTCTGGTGGAGGCCATGGCAGTTGTGGTCCATTAATCCTTTGGACTAATCTTTCCCTTGTATCTTGTGTTCTTCATTCTCACTTGCTCCCAAAGGTGTGAGACCAGTGGAGCATCTCAGATGACTGCTCACAGGCTTTTAAGACCCCAGTCAGTCTGATAATTTTTAACACAATAGATATTATTTTTAGTTATTATTATTGAGATTAATCTAGCAATCTATGTTTACTTTCAAACAGCTAAACACAGATTTAAATTATATAGAAATTTATATAACTATTATCTTAAAGTATTTTTTAGAATTTTTGTTGTTTCCTGGATATTTGAAAAATATGAATAAATACAGATGGAGTCTTTCACTTATTTCTTGGTTATTTAGTATTGTTCAGGTGCATCAAAGTGGGATTCTAGATTTGAAATGTAATTAAAATGTTGATATTGATTTTTTTTTTTGCATATTCTAGATTTCAAATAGCATAATGACATATACTTTTGTTCATAAAATGTAGTTAAGTTACACTGAGAAAATTTAAGTGTTTTCCCTTATGATTCTGTTGTGTAAGCTTAAAGTAATTTATAAAACTATTATTTGGCTTTCATTATCAGTATCTTTTACAAGGCTATTTAAAAAATTTTTTAAATTTATCTTATTGTTGAGAATATAGACACAAAACATACACCAATTCAACAGTTTCTTCATGTACCATTCATCGACATTGATTACATTCTTTGAGTTGTGCAACCATACTCACCCTCCTTTTCTGAGTTGTTCTCCCTCATTAACATAAACTCACTGCCCTCTAAGTTTCTGTCTAATCTTTCAAGTTGCTGTTGTCAGTTTGATCCCATATAGATAGTTGTTAAAAGAGAATAATGCTCAAGGTAGATACTTTTCACTAAACTATTGTTTGGTTTTAAGAAGACTTGAGAGGATATTTTTGGTTTATGGTTTAAAGATTATCTCAGGGCAATAGTTTCAGGGGTTCATCCAGCCTCCATGGCTCCAGAAAGTCTGTATTCCATGAGAATTTGAAATTCTGCTCTGCATTTTCCCTCTTTTGATCAGGATTCTTCTATAGAATCTTTTTCACAAGACCATTTTTCACAAAGAAATAAATTTTTAAAAGTCATTTAACATGAGTTTCTGTGTGAAATAAAATTCCGAATTACTATATATCGTATAACTTTGAGCTACTTTTTAAATGCATTAGAAATTCTCTTAACTAACTCTTCCTAGTAACTGATACTCTTTGTTTCCTCATTTACTGACCAAGGCACACTGGACTCGTGTAGCTAGTAGGGTGTTCTCTAATAGTTCTATGCACATCTATTCTCATTAGTTGAGTTTTTTGCTTACAAGAGTCAGTTTGTTTCTAAAGCTATGTCAGTTGTTGTACTTCTTACTGTAATCATGAAAGTGAATGAGATATTTTGTAAATTCAGGAAATACGATTTATTTATTTATTTATTTCAAGAACTAACTTGAATGCTTTGGAAATGTTTAATAAAAGCAAGTTATTGAAAAACACCATCAACTTGGTGAATTAAGTGACCAACTGCTGGGTTTCAGTTATGTCATAGAGAACTTTTTTTATAGTTGAAACTAGAAACATTTAATTTGTGAGTGCTATGAGTTACCATGTTATCTTATCTATAATAGTAAAAATACCTATTTTCCTCTAGTGAAAAGAAGGCACTATTAAAACTAGACTTGAACAAAAGGCCCTAGAAAGAAAAGAAGTTAGTGGTTGTAAATTGCTCCACACTAGAGAAAGTTGAAGAATGTTGAAATTCAGCCTGTGTTGTTTAGTTTATAATTGTTTTGTAAATGTTTTATTTCACAATTGCAGATTTGCAAGAAAAGTTGCATGAATAATACAAAAATTCATGCAAACTCTTTACCTACTTTCTCTGAATGTTGACATTTTACTACATTTGTGTTATCCTTTTTTTTTTTTCTATTTTTTTCTGAATATTTCAAGAGTATGTTGCAGACATGGTGACCCTTTATTCCTGAGTACTTCAGTGTGTGTTTCGTCAACAAGGAATTTTTTCATATAACCATGGTACAATTATCAAAATCAGGAAATTAACATTAAAACAATGCTATTACCTAATTTATAGACCTTATTGGGATTCTTTTTTTTTGTTAGTTATCCCAACAATATGCTTTATAGTGGAAAAAAAAATCCAAGCTCGTATGTTGTTTTCAGTAGTCTTGTCTTTTTAGTCTGCTTTAATCTGGAAGTCCTCATTCTTTCCTGTATTTCATGACATTGACATTTTTGAAGAGTCCAGGGCAGTTATTTTGTAGAACGTCCTGCATTTTGGGTTTGTCTGATGTTTATTCATGATTAGATTCAAGTTATGCACTTTTGGCAGGAGCACCACTGATGTGATACTGAGTCATTCCACAGTGTGTCATGTCAGTAAGCATATGCTGTTGATTAGTCGTAATCTGACATTGATTATTTGGTTAAGGAGTTGTCTGCCAGATTTCTCTCTGTAAAGTTTTAATTAAGTAATATGTATCTTATGATTAGATACTTTGAGACTATCTAAATATCCTGGTCCTCCTCAAACTTTTACCCACTAGTTTGAGCCTGTATTTATGAGTCGTACCTGAGTCAATTATTATTACAATAGCTGTCAAAATGATGATTTTCTCATTTCATCAGTGCTTCTGCATTCATCGTCCCTGGGTGGTGCAAAAGGTTTGCCCTCGACTACTAACCTAAAGGTTACCCATAAACCTAGCCAGCAGTGCTGCAGAAGAAAAGCCTGACAATCTGCTTCTGTAAAGATTACAGCCAGGAAAACCCTATGGAGCAGTTCTACTGTGTAACACATGGGGTTGCCGTTAATCAGAAATGACTTGATGACAATGGATTTTTTTTCCCCCCTACATTCATCAGTGCTTTCTACTGTAAGGAAGAGTTTTTCCCTTCTTATTTGTATCTGTGTGGACTCATGGAGTCTTAACTTTATCATGAGCGAGAATGAAAATATTTGTATATATGTAAGAGTATTTTTACATTTTCTTTTGTGAATTGTCTGTTCATGTCTTTTGCCCAATTTTCTATTGGGTTTTTGGTCTTTTCCCCTCAGTTTTCAAGAGGTCTTTATATTTAGGGATATCAATCCTTTATCTATGAAAAGGTTGCAAATATTTTCTCCTGGACTGTCAGTTGTCTTTGTTTATGCTGTTTCTTTCCATGCAGAGGTTTAAAACATTTTTAAAAATATATGTAGTCAAAAATATCAGTCTTGTCTTTTATTGCATCTAGATTTTGAGTGGTAAGCATTCCTCTCCACCCAGGTTAAAGAGGAATTCACTCATGTTTTCCTCTAGTTCTTATATAGCTTCAATTTTTACATTTAGATTCTTGATCTGTTTGAAATTTATTCTTATGTATGGCATGAAGTATGGACCTAATTTTATATTTTTCCAAATGTTTAACCAGTGGGCTGAGCACCGTTTATTAAAAAGTCCATCTTTGCCCCAGTGATTTGAGATGCCATTGGTATCATATAAAGTTGCATATGTACTTTGGTCTATTTCTCAACTTTCTATTCTGTTCTACTGGTTGGTCTGTCTATTCAGACACCAATACCATAATATTTTAATTATTAAGACATTGTGATATGTCTTAATGTCTGGTAGGGCTAGTCCCCTACTTGGCTTTTCTTTTTTAATGCCTTGTAATTGTCTTAAAGGTGAGAAAATCTCATTAGTTACTAAAGAATCTGGTATTAATACATGATATTATGCCTCCATTTCCACTGGTCAGTTTCTTGCTCAAAATTGAGTATAAAGGCTCTTAAGTTTTTGAAGATGGTTAAATTTATAACTAATAATAATATAGTAAATAGAAAATAAAATAATCTCATTAAAATCGCTCTATCCCCCTCATACTAGTTTTTTTGGAGAGGGCATTATTTGCCTCTCACAAGGTTCTCTTCTGTATTAGATGTCAATTGGCCATTGTCACTTCTTGGATTAACTGTGATTTGAAATGCTAAACATGACATAATGCTGTCTTGTTCTGCCTCTAAACTGAAAGGTCATTGGGGCAGAGCTATTTGTACTTAGAATTCTCTGGAATTCTGCCTAAATATTTGTGCACTTATAGGGTGACAGTAGATAGATAGTCTGAAGTGTGGCATGTGATATGAGAAGCCAATAATAAAAATAAATTTTTTCAGTTTACTGGCCTTAAGTTGATTTTGTTACCTCTGCAATTTTTATAATGATTTTTGGTTATATAACAGTATTTGAAGGTAATACGGTATTTCTCATTTAGAATCATTGTCATTATTGGGGCTATGTGGAAGGAGTTTCTAATTCATCTGTTGCTCTTAGCGACTGTTTTGGACTCAGGTAAGGAATTTTCTTTATGTATGTATTTTTTTCTCTTTTCTTTATTTCTCACACTTTCTCCTATTTCTGTCTCCAAATCAAGTAATTTTGCAGTCCTGGTGGCACAGTGGTTAAGAGATCGGCTGCTACCCAAAAGGCCAGCAGTTTGAATCTACCAGCCACTCCTTGGAAACCCTACTGGGCAGTTCTACTCTGACCTATTTGATCGCTATGAGTCGGAATCAACTCGACGGCACTGGATTTGGTGTTTTTGGCTTTAACAAAATCAGATTTTACTGTGATCTTGCTGAAGATCATTACAGCTATATTATAGTCATCATTCTTAGTATGCTTATTTAGGAAAATGTTATTGTTGTTGAATTTTAATACCTAAAGGGAAAATTATATCTTTTGGAGACCATTAAATAATTTTTGCTATTTGAAATATACATTCAATTTCTGTAATACTTTATAAATTTTTATCTATATGTTTTTACTTAAGTCTCATAATGATTGTGAAAAAGAGCTAATTATGTCCATATTTAGGTGGGCAAACTGAGGTTCAAAGAAATTGTAACACAGCAAGTGAAGTCATACTAATGTTGAAGTTACGTTTACTCCTGCCTGGCAGTATAACGCTATGCTGATTGGCGGATTGTATAATTGATTGATTGATTGATGTAATAAATATTACTTCATAATTCTCAACCCAACTCTGTAAGGTGGCTATGATTATTTCTATTTAAATGGTAACATTTACTGAATTGTTACTGTGTACTAGGCAATATTCTAAGTGTTTTTGCACTTTTTAAATAATTTAGCCACCACTTGCTTGTCAATTTGTCATACTATGGTGGCTTGCGTGAAGCTATGATGCTGGAAGCTATGCCACCAGTATTTCAAATACCAGCAGGGTCACCTGTGGTGGACAGGTTTTAGCAGAGCTTCCAGACTAAGATAGACTAGGAGGAAAGACTTGGCAATCTACTTTTGAAAATTAGCCATTGCAACCAAGTTGATAGCAACAGAACATTGTCTGATATCATCCTGGAAGATGAGCCCCTCAGGTTGTAAGACACTCAGAATATGACACAATAACCACAACAGTAATGGTGCGGGACTGGGCAGTATTTTGTTCTGTTATACATAAGGTTGCTGTGAGTTGGAGCTGACTCAGTGGCAGCTATCAACAACAACAACACAAATAATTTAGTTTTCAGAACAATCCTGTGCAGAATGTAAACTAAGGCATAGGTTTGTGGGACTTGCTAAAAGTCCCACAGCGGTAGAAAACACACATGGGATTCAATCTAGTCCTTGGCTCCAGACCCCACACTTTACCCACTACTCTGTACTGCCTTCCATTTTACAGCAATCACTCAGAGAGGTTAAGTAACTTTTGGGCAGTGATGCTAGTTAAGTAGCAGTCTTGTGTTTAAATTTAAGTTTGCCTGACTCTAAAGCCTCTATTTTTTTGCTACCCCTTCTTACACGTTAAGAACTAGGACTTGAATTCAGATTTTCTGATTCCTTTTCCTGTGTATTTTTCTTTTTTTCTTAAAAATTGTGTATGTGGTAACACAACATTTAGAGGATTGCTGCATTTAGATAACACAAGTTATGGGATTGAACCCCTGCAAAATAGTTCTCGTTTTGAGCATATTGTTTATCGAATGGATGCAGTCCACAAAGAGCCTCTGAAATGTGGGGTTTCCAACAAGGATGTAGAGAAGGAAACCACAAAGGATGAAGAGGAAGAGTCTCCGAGTATGACTCAGCTACTTCGAGTAAGGAAATAGTATAATTCTTTATGGTTCAGATTACTGTTTTAAAAAACCATGGATTTATCTATTAAACCAACACTTGTTTGTTTGTTTATTCATTTATTGCTAACTTTGTGCCAGGCATTGTGATAGGCATTAAGGGATACAAAAATGAGCAATAAGCAGTTCCTGCCACCAAGCTGATTCATTTAGTTGGAGGTGTAGCATCTGTGGGTTTTGTAAGCTAGGACTTAAACAGTAATGCATATTTATTTCAGCATTGCTACGTAATAGTTCGTTTAACAGCCTTTCGGAGAGTAGTGGAATTTTTACTTTAGATAACTCTTACATAAACTAGAATGGTATTCTTGAGCTTTGGATTGGAGGAATAGAGAGAGATTTGACTGTAGGGCTTTAATTACTTCAGATGTCTTCCAAGAACGCTTGTGTCTGTATTTTGAGACATCTGTAGGACTCCTTGACTTACTCTTGACATGGGTCTCTTAGACTGAAATAGTCTTAGGACTGGATCAACCTCACCTGCAGGAAATAGACCTTTCTACATATGAGACAATGTTTCTGTGTTGGAAGAGGCATGCGCCTGGGGATACCTTTAATTCTGTCAATGTCCAGTATGTTTTTAATTAACTCATACTAGTTTATGGCATTATTTTCATTGCCTCTCCTACTATCCACTCTTTTGACTATCGGGCTATTCTATTTAACTTTTAAACACTGGAAGCATTTACATTTTAGCTTATCCTACTTTATATTAATTTCTATAAAATCAAAAAACTATTCATTTTTTTAGAGTGGCAGCTTTGTCCCCGCTTCTGCTCTGGGTAATTGATAGATAGTCTTTCTGAAATGTACTGAGTTTCCCATGAAAATGTGTGTGTGTGTGTATGTGTGTGTGTATACGTGTATGTGTGTACGTGCACATGTGTGTATATATGTGTGGATGTATGTAGTTTTGATGTTAGAAAAATCAGTAATTCTGCTGTTTGGAAACCTGAATAACCCGTTTCATCTTTAACTAGAATTTTTCTCAGATCAGTACAGATATCAGATATTACTGGCTTTTTTTTTTTTTTAAATTGTGATTTTGGCTTTATAGATCTAGGATATGTTAAGTAAGATAATTTTATGATGTTCTTAATATGTGACCATAGATTAGGATAAGATGATTTCATTTGTAAAACCTGCAGCCTTATAACTTTGTTGGCTCGTGCCTTCAACAGAGAAGAAGAGCTGTCCTGCCACAGACCCGGTATGTGGAGCTGTTCATCGTAGTAGATAAGGAAAAGGTAAGACTGACTGGTGGAACTTTCTCCTCTTTCTCATGAGAAGCAGATGAGAAGTGAGCATCCCATGAGAGAAATACGAAATATGGCATATTTATACTAATTTTTCTTAAATGATAATTTTAAAACTAAAATTGCTTTTCTTCCTTTAAACTGACTCAGTATTTATAATACCACCAGAAGCTGAATGCTGCAAATGAGACCACCTCTAACTTTATTCTTTACTGGTGATTTTTTTCTCTGGTTTTTCTGGTAACTGGTTTGGGCCTGCCTATCAGTTAGGGTCTTGGGAACTTCTTAGATGACTTTAAAGGACTGTGGCTATGGATAAAGTCATTCAGGTTTTAGTTAGCTTTGTAGAATTTCAGCTAGCCTATATTTCCCCTTAAGAGAGAGAAAACTTCCATGCCCTGGAATCCTTTAGACGGGACTATGACCTGGAAATCAAAAAGGAGACGGGTTTGTTTTAGCGTTTAGTGTTAATTTCAGTGGACAAGGATAACACCAGAGGAGTTTCCATATCCGTATTTATAAAGTCTGCTTTTCTTAACTAAGAGAAGTAATCTATCTCAGCATTTATAAGATTATTAGTTTTGGATATAGCTGCCATGTAATTTAAAATATGAATGATTTGAAGATTTGTCTTATTTTTACTGCCAACTTTGTTTGTGGGAAAAGTTGCTTGTAGAAACTTAATATCATTGGCAGTTCCTTTTTTGTGAGCTACAGAGACAATTTGGAGGATTTTTAAGATTAAAAAAAAAATCTCTTCTAGTGTGTAGGTTGAGAAAAACAAGCCGTATTTATTATGAGATAGAAACTTACTCAGATTTGTTCATTATAGGCTCATTACCCTCAAGTGGTAGAAAGAAAAAGCATAGGGAACGTGAGCTAGTGTGATCTCCGTGCCCCAAATAATGGTAAAATGTGGAATGTTTTGGACAAATCACAAAAATAGAGATTTAATATGGTTTTCTTTATTGTTCTTTCCAGATAAACTTGTTATGTGCGGGTAGAAAATGGTTCAGAATAAAAATGATTCTATTCAGTCAAACTCAGTCAGATGTATTAAAACATTATTTCTTTGTTTAAGAGAATCATAATAAGATTGCCTAAGTGATAAAATATATTCTGATATTAATACCTGAATCGGAGCACAACCATACATTCTTTTTAAAAATTTCATTTGGTTACTTAATAAGTTGCTTGTACTAAAATAATATTAAAACAGACATTTGGATTTAACCAGGCCGCAAAGAAATAATCAGTCTTATCAGTTAAGACGCAGGACCAGGCAGTGTTTCATTCATTATACAAAGGGTCACTGTGAGTCAGAACTGACTAACAATAACAACATCAGTTATTGGCTTAATATGGTTAAATTTTTATATAGCTCTATTTGTCTACATACACATAATGTTTTAACTAGTGATCATTGGTTAATCTCTCATTATTATAGCTCATGATTTAGAAGGGGTTTATTGGTAGTACCTTCAGCTTGGGAAACCTTTGGCAATTGTTTTTTCATTCCTTTGGCTATGCATTTTGATTGTTCTAAACTTTACCTTGTGAAGTGTGTAAAATGTACCTTGTGAAAATATTTTTGTGTTAAAATGAATAAAAGAGAACATTAAGAATAAAACTTATTTTAAAATTATACTAATTTGGAGAAACATTAAGACTTTGATGCTTGTTCATTATTATTCATTTCACACTTGTGCCTGTTCTTCTTTTATTCTTATTTATCATTTATCCCTAAATGTATCCTTTAGATTTATTAATTTGAAATGCTGATGAATGCCTAAATGCCTCAATTTTTGGTTCAGAGGAAATGTTTGGATTCTTAACTTCTTTGTAACAGATTATACTAATTCTCTTAAGTTACTTGGATGATGATGATTTCCTTTTTTGTTTTTCAGTATGACACAATGGGGAGAAACCAGACTGCTGTGAGAGAAGAGATGATTCGTTTAGCAAACTACTTAGACAGCGTAAGTTGTGTCTTCTGTCAACCAGGATGATTCTATCCTATCCCTTCACAGTCTCGGAACAGAATTTAGAAATTATCTCAGTTTGGGCTCTTAATTTCTCAGGGCCTAAGTCTTTCTGAAGTTTGCTTTCTAGTTTGTTTGTAACTTTTCTTACGTTAGAAAGTAGAGTGCAAGGGTAGAAAGACTTTGAGAAGAGCGGGGCATTTTATGTTAGCATAGACTTTAAGGTACTTTGGTTTATGAAAAGATACTTGAATTTTTATTGAAAAAGTCTTATTTTGAATAAGGCTGCCTTCTACTCTTAAACTTAGATATGGCAGCATTTTGTGTATGTGTGATTTGGTTTGAGATCTCGGAGTTTATCCAGTAGGAGATAATTGAAGAATTACATAGATGTTCTTACAAGATTGGTCCAGTCGGCAACTGATCATGGAGATGGTTCGGGACCAGGCAGCATTTATTCCATTGTTCATGGGGTGTCCATGAGTCAGAGGCTGACCCCACGTAGCCAATAACAGAAAGCTTATAATTTCATCTAAAAGATAGGGCATTCCAAGCATAATAATTATGTGGTGATGATGATGATGATAGAATTCTCCTGTTGAGTGTTTACAATGTACTAGAAAATGAGCTAAGTTCTTTCATTTACTAACTCATTTATTCCACATAATATCTCTGTGAAATAGTTTTAACAGTTCCACAATACTTTATCTGAAACCTTTGGCACATGTGTGATTAGAATTTTCAGTAAGAGTTTGGAAAGGTAATATGGTCCATATACTATGTATTACATAACCTCTCCAGCAGGTCTGGGACAGCACCTTGTAATCAAACCATTAAAATTTCTACAGTGAAATGTATGAATATTTGCATTAAGTAGAGTAAATGTGGACAATAAATAGCTTTGCATTAGTTCAGGGCAAGTTTTGCAACCAAATTTACCAAAAACTTTTAATTATCAGAGTTGTCAGAGTTTGGGATGGAAGATAAAAAGAATTTTGAGCGTTTGTTGTTACCATCATTTTACAGATGAGGAAACTGAGACTCAGAGAGGTTAGAGCCTCGTTATATTGAAGGAAAGATTTTTTTAGGGGGTAAAGTCCTATTTTTTTTTAATTTAAGTAGTTATGTTGCTTGATTATGTGGTTAAAGGATTTTTCTCATATTGACCTGAGTTTTCTTCACTTAACTGGATGCCAAAAAAAAACTTAATATAATTCTAATATATATTTTATATACTTTATTTCTCTTTTCTTTCCAGATGTATATTATGTTAAATATTCGCATTGTACTAGTTGGACTGGAGATTTGGACAAACGGAAACCTGATCAGCATAACTGGAGGTGCTGGTGATGTGTTGGGAAACTTTGTACAGTGGCGGGAAAAGTTCCTTATAACACGTCGGCGGCATGACAGTGCACAGCTAGTTCTGTGAGTGTTTTTTATTTTTTTTTAAATAATGTTAATAAAATGGTCGTAATGATAATTTTTTTTCTTATTTTCTTTTATTAGAATTATATTCTTTTATTTTTTTTTGGCATTCAGTTAAGTGAGGAAGGACAAGATGTGACACTATGATAACAAGACCCCTCTGTGTTGGGTTCCCCATCACCTTTCCCATGTCTTTTTTCCTCTTTCTTGAGTTTATGCTCTCATTTTGGTAGAGCATTTTCTCTAGTTTGCTTTGTGAGAAGGGGTGTATGGGAAGAAAGAATTTTGACCTCTCACATGTCCAAAAATGTATTTATTTTGCCCTCACACTTGTTTGATTATTTGACTGAATAGAAAATGCTAGGCAAAAAATCTTTTTCCTTCAGAATTTCAAAAGCAGCGTGCTATTGTCTTTCAACTTCCAGTATTACTGTTGAGAATCCTGGAGCCATTCTGTGTCCTGATCCTTTGTATGTGACTGGTTTTTTTCCTCTTCTCTGGAAATATGTAGGATCTTCTCTTGATTCCCATCCCAGGCTTCTGAATTTTCCTGATGATATGCTTTGGTGTAGATCTTCTATTGCTCATTGTGCTGAGTTTTCAGTAAGTAACTTCCATCTTGAAACTGATAGCCTTCAGTTTTAGAAATTTGATTTTCTCCTCTTTATTTTTATTATTCATTTCTTCTGGGATTCCTTTTAGTCAACTCTTGGGAGTTCTTATACTGATCCTCTAATTTCATTATCTTTCTTCTCTTTGTGCTTTTGTTTTACTTTCTGGGATATTTCCTTAAATTTATCTTCTAAACTTTTATTGAGTTTTTCATTTCTGCTGTCTGATCTTTTATCCCCCTTATCTTTTTATTCCCCTTAATACTACTTTTCATAGAAACAGGTTCTTGCTTAATGAACATAATATTTTTTCTAATCTCTTTGAGGATATTATTGACATATTTTAAACATTTTTTTCTTGCTACCTAGCATTTTCATAGTACTATAACCAAAACCAAACCCATTGCCATCAAGTCGATTTTGAAAACTTAAATTTATGTAAAATTACTCAATACAAGTAAACTTCAAAAACTTACAGCAAAACTGTCACTTAAAAGTAGATTTAAAAATTTTATTCTTTAAGAAAAATTTCTGTTTTGATGGGCTGACGTCCTGCCAGAAATGTTCTAATTTATATATGTATGTATATATATTTGCCCCCCTCAATATTGATAGCACCCAAAATTCACACATTTTTCTGTGTGGAGGAATTTTCCTTAATTTTATTATTTTTCTTTTGTTAATGTTGGTTCATTTAAAGCAAGGAACTGAAAATGGCTAGGTGGTCTTTTCTGGCTCCATAAACACAAAGATTTGGTCTTGACGCGCATGCAAATGTCTTGGTACCAGTGAGAAAGCCCTCTACTTCACAGAAGACCGAGAAGAGCAGGCATCAACCACACCTACCGACCTGTCTTTTTCTCTTTTTTGATCATTTGTCATTTGAGAGCCTTTTCCCAGATAAGTCTCCAGTCATGTACTCAAACTTTCAAGAGGCGTTAACGATGAACAACCAAGGATCACCAGACATCTGGGAACTATGGGATTCACTATAGGGTGATCCGGCTGGGGTGTTTCCTTGGAAATCGTCTTATGTCAGTATCTCTAGTTCTCACCTCTTGAGCTGGTCAGATTCCACAGTGCAGGATTTATTCATTTATTTAAAAGAGTTTCAGTGTTTTCTGTGTATCAGGCGCTGGGGTACGGTAGTGAACAAAACAGACCAAAATTCCTGCTCTCATGAGCCTATATTTTGGTGGAGAGGATTGGCCATGAATGAGCTAAATAAGTATAATGTATGGTATGTTAACTAATGATGAGTGTAAGAAGAAAAAATAAAACAGGGAAGGGAGATGTAAAAGTATTGGAGGAGTGAGGTTGAAATTTTAGTAACATGGCCAGGGAAAGCCTCACTGAGATGAGGACTTTCGAGTAAAAACCTTAAAGAGGTGAGAGAAGAGTTGGGAAAGAGAGTTCCAAGCAGATGGAATAAATCCTGAGATAACAAGTGTGACTGGCGTGTTTGAGGAACGATATGCAGACAATTGTGACTTTTCTTCTTGTTCATTGTGCTCACTGTGCTGCATGCAGTCTTCTTTGTAAATACATTCATTTGGTTTTTTGTCTCTCTTCACTAAAATTTGTTGAATAAATAAATGTAATGCATTTAAGGAAGGCTTTTCATCCAGAAGGTATAAAAACTTTTTTTCATATTTGTCTGAAAAATGCGTATCTAATATTAATCTCATTCTCTGATACTAAAAAAGAGATAAGGCATAACTATATTCTGATTTTTTCCTTTTTTTGCTTTGCTTTTTAAAAATTATTTTTGTGAAAATATAGAGAACACAGCATTTGTCAGTTTGACTTTTTTTTACATGTACAATTCAATAAAACTAGTGACATCAATCATATTGTATACCCATCACTTAAATTCTTTTTTTAAAATATTGTCTATTATTGGCATTTTTCTCCCAATTGTTGTAGGCTGTACCACCATAAAAATGGGAGCAGTGTGTTCCTTTCGTCCTCCCCAAGTACATTTTATAATTTTTACCTTCTTTTTTTTATTTAGGAAGAAGGGTTTTGGTGGGACTGCAGGAATGGCATTTGTGGGAACAGTGTGTTCAAGGAGCCATGCAGGCGGGATTAATGTGGTATGTTTTTGTTCTTGATTTTAAACTTTGGACCTCTGCATTAGGGCAGTATCAAACATTTTTTGGCGCTATACTTCCTCCACAGTCCTTAAATCATTGTTTCAGGCATTGTGAGGGACATAGTAGACATGGCAGGTGTGTTCTATCCCTAGAGACTGGATCAAGTTTTCTAATATTTATTTTCTCTTCATTTTTTATGGATGTGGAAACAAAGGTTCGTATATGAGTGAATTAAATTAGAGCCATCAATTTACTTTCCCATAACTACCATGAATAATCTATTGGTGCTAAAGTAATTGACTCATTGCTGAAAGGGTCCATCTCCATTATCAGTATGTTGAGGTCACACTATTTTCTTATTAAACTGGATGCTTGATTTAGCATAGAGACTGCCATCTTTGTAGTGAATAAACTTCCTTTTGTGAAAAAATAATCCAAGAAATAAAACATTTCACTTTTGCTCAGAAATCTAATTAATAACTTCCTGTGTTTGGACAGTTTGGGCAAATCACTGTCGAGACATTCGCATCCATTGTTGCTCATGAGCTGGGTCATAACCTTGGAATGAATCATGATGATGGAAGAGATTGTTTTTGTGGAGCAAAGAGCTGCATCATGAATTCAGGAGCATCGTGAGTGACTGGATTCTTTCTTATTTTTCTAAAGATGGTATTGTATATACCAGTGTTTCCTAAACTCTGCCAATGCTCATGTCTATGTTGAAAAAACAGGAAAAATTATTCCTGGCCTTCAGGAATTAATTATATGATATAGCAATGAGAAGTCTATTTTTTTTAATTAGATAATCCCAGAGAGCTTTAAGAAAGAAACCTTTAGTTAGCCACAGGTATGTAGGTATACTTCTACAAGCTCCCACCTTCTTGAACCTATGCACATATTGTTATGGGTTGAATTGTGCCCCCCCAAAAACTATGTTGAAGTCTTAACCTCTATACCAGTAAATATAACCCTGTTTCAAAAAAGGGAAAACAGACATGGAGACACACACTCACAGAGGGAAGACAGGTGCCATGTGAAGACTGCTCTATAAGCAAAGAAATGGCAAGGATTGCCAGCTGACGCCAGAAATTAGGAGAGAGGCCTATGGAAGGAATCAACATAGCCAAGACCCTGATTTTGACTTTTAGCCACCAGAACTATGAGAAAAAAATTTCTGTTCTTTAAAGCCACCCACTTGTGGTATTTTTGTTATGGCAGCACTAAGAAACATTCACTCTGTCTTCTTCTCTGCTACTGTGGATGAATTTCCTAGCTCCATCAAAAGACCAGTCTCACCATCAGTTTGATTCTCCCTCCCTTTCCCTTGCTGTTTCCTCTCTGTTACTCCGTCCTCCCACCACCTTCCCCACCAACATTTATTCTTCATTCCATGCTGGATCTTTCCAGCAAACAAATACACCATAATTTATTTTTCCTATCTAAAAAAAAAAAACCTTTCCCTTGACCTCACTTTTAGCTCCAGCTACCACCTCAGTTTTTCTCCTTCACTCTAGAACAGAATTCTTTAGAAATTTTTGTTTAGGCTCACTGTTTCTATCATCTCTTATTCCATTCCCCCTTGAACCCACTTCAATCAGAATTTCACTCCCATCACTTCATAAAACTGCCTTTTTCCAGGTCTACAATGACCACCACATTGCTAAATCCAATAATGATCTCTCAAGCCTCCTCTTAACTTGACCTATCAGCAGCATTTGATACAGTACATTACCCTCTCCCTGAAAATAGTTTTTTTACTTGGCTTCCAAGACATTACCCACTCCTAGGTTATACCTAGGTATAAATTTAACAAGAAATGTGCAAAATTTATATGATCTATAAAATCATAAAACACTCTTGAAAGACAGAAAAGTAGACTTAGTAAATGGAAAGACAAATCATATTCATAGATAAAAACATTCAAAGTCATAAAGATGTCTGTTCTCCCTAAAGTAATTCATAAATTGAATGTGACTCTAATAAAAATAACACATTTCTTTCTGGAGCTAGGCATGTTGATTATAAAATTCAAATGGAAAAATAAACAAGAATATCCAGGAAAAGCCTGAAAACAAACAAGAAAAGTAATTTGGGAAGGAAAGGGCCAGCTCTACCAGATATTAAAACATATTTTTAAAGACTCTATAATTAAAAGAGTGGTAAAGTACAGGGTCAGGGAAAATGAGGGAAACTCTCCATGAGATGGATTGACACAGTGACTGCAACAATGGGCTCAAATATACCCAAGATTTTGAGGACGGAGCAGGACTGGGCAATGTTTCATTCTGTTACAGGTAAAGTCACCATGATTTGTAGTCAACTCAACAGCAACTCCCAACAACAAATAATTAAAAGAGTAGAAGAGAGGAGTAAGAACATGGGGGCAGTGTAGGATGGTGAAAAGGGATTATAATTCATGGATCGTAGTCTTGGCGGTTATGAGAGCTGGCTAAGTTAGAGGGAAGAGTTCGTACAAGACCACCCTGACTTCTGACACAAATTTCAAGTCTGGGCTATTCCTAAAACCACCCTTACGTTTGATAATTCACTAGAAGGACTCACGGAATTCACTGAAAGCTATTATACTCACACTTATGATTTATTGTAGTGAAAGGATGTGGATTAAAATCAGCAAGAGAAGAGACACGTAGAGCAGAGTCCAGGGGGGTTCTAAACATGAAGCGTCCAGTTATCCCTTTCCTGAAGAGTCAGAACAGCATTTGCCCTCCTGGCCTTGATGTGTGACAGTATGCATGGGATATTGCCAACCAGGGAAGCTCATGTCCAGAGTCTTTATTGGGGCTCAACCACATAAATCTGAGTAGCTACCCATTTGACTGACCTTAGTTTTCAGCCCCTCAGGAGGTCAAGCTGAATCCCCTGTGAGCCCCACCCTAAATCACATTGTTGGTGTGGCTCAAAGTCCCCATCTTAAATCACATTGTTACTATCTGGCTGCCAAAGGCTCCCAAGTAAACAAAGACACTCTTATCAAGCATGACATTCCAAGAGCTTAGAGATTACCTCCCACAAACTGAGGGCAAGGGCCAAATCTTTTTTTGGTCAAGGTTAAAGTTTTTATTACACAATGATATTGAAAGACTGTTGGGTTTGAGTATTAGAGGGAGTGAGCTGAAATACTGTGTAAAGGCTGGAGAATGGGATGCCTGTTATTTTGAGATTATGGAAGGAGAACAGTTACTGATAATGATCATGGGAGTGAATGCTTAGGAAGGTGTGGGACTCAAATCAATGAAGAGAAAAGGTAAGGGAACTGAGGGCCCAGTATATTTGGAGGATGACTTATATAGATACTGAAATCACTAAGAGTTTTGCCAGAAGTGTTGGAAAGAATTAGTGAACCATGAGCTAAAATCTTCAAGGAATGCTGGAGAGTAACAGGAAACAGTAGATGATGCAACAAGGAGAAATAATGGGGATCTGACAACATGAAGTTTTAGGAAACAGTGGTTAGAAAGGGACAGTGAGGCCTTATGTTAGAAGAGATATGAGAGACAAAAAAACCTCAACCTTGAAAATGCAGGGGAAGCAGTGTGTTAGCAGAGAGCCAGTTTTCAACTAGAGCAAGAAGGCTGAAGGGATATTCAGAGAAGTGGTTTATAATTTAGGGCATTTTACTGGTGATTAACCATGAGTTCTCAAGGGCATAGCAGAAAGGTTTTATAAGTTGGGAAGTGAGGTGAAATGGGTGTATGTGTAGGGTGTGAGGGGGAGCCGGGTGTATGTGTAGGGTGTGAGGGGGAGCCAAATGAGTATGAGAATCTCCCAGGAGATCTAGGCCTCTTGTGGTGACACACATAAGCAAGATAAAGGGTTGATGGTCCCCAGGCAAACAGTGGTAGTGGTATCGAGTACTGGAGTTGAAGTGGGGTGGGAATTTTGCCAGGAGCATGCAGAATTCTAAGACTTCCACTTGATTTGCACTGGAGATGTTGATGGAGGACAGCTCTTACAGTAAGCCGGTAGGGCTCCCTTTGAGACATCCAGTGGAGGGTGAGATGGGAAGGGTATCCTTACCTAAAGCATTTGTTGCTCTCCCCTTTATGGAGAATGACTTAATATTAAGAAATCTGTCACTGAATATAATCATAGAATAAGATATAGGAGAACTATCATAAGATTATTTCAGCAAATGAATTCTGATAATAGTTCCACTTCATTCCTGGTTAAAATCCTTAGTAAAACAGGGTAAAAGGATACTTTTCTCTTATGATAAAACTTGATAATACATTGTTTATATAAAAGCACAGCCAGAATCACATGTGATGATGAAATGCTAAACAAAGAAAAAATCCAAACTCATTGCCGTCGAGTTGATTCTGACTCACTGCGGTCCCTGGGTGGCACAAACGGTTTGCGCTTGACTACTAATCTAAAGATTGACGGTTCAGACCCACTCAGTGTCATGAAAGAAAGGCCTGGTGATCTGCTTCTGTAAAGATTACAACCAAGAAAACCCTGCGGAGGAGTTCTACTCTGTGATACATGGTGTCACCATGATGAAATGCTAGAGTCAAACAAATATGATAAAGAAATACTAGAGTCATTCTTACTCCTGGTAGGTTCCTGGTACTAAACAGATGGTACAATCTAATGGGATTATCAAGGAGTTTAATAGAATGGTGTGGGCAGAGTTAAGGCAAACCAACAAGGAATGGTTAAGTACTCCTAACCTAGCAACAATGGGGAAGTAACACCTCTAGGCCTGAAGATATACGGGAGGGAATTGTTACCAGATCTTGGAGAGAGTAACTATAGGTATAGGAGAAGCTGACTCCACAGGACTAAATGTAGAGGGCCATTGCCTGCATGAGGTGACCTGACAGAGGGTCAACCTTCTTCTCCTACCAACTCCTTATCTCTGCCAGCCCCTCTTATTGGTTATGTTTAATTGATTGCAGTATATATAGGTCAACCTCCTGGGCATAGAACAGGTGGAGAAAGATGGAGAAAAGATCTGGAGGGAAAACAGAATATCCAGCACACATGATAACCATTATCAGTACTATTACTTAATCTTGTTTTGGAAGATCTAGCTAATCCATGAATAGGAATATATTTAGGAATAAATATTAATATTTGAAAAGAGGAGCAGTTATTGTAAATTATATGATTGTCTAGTTTTGAAAAGCAAGGAAGTCATAGTATTGAAAATATATTTATAAAATAAATATTTAAATAGATTCCCAGTAAATCAGTTATAATTATTTAAATAAACTATGAGGGGAAAAAACCTGTTTATATTTGCCCAAAGTTCTAAATATCTTGGAATCAACCTAATAGGAAATATATGGATTTATGTAAAGAAGATAAAAAAGTTTATTGAAGGTCATAATGCATTATTTGAATAAAGGCAGTGTTCTTTTATGGGTAGACTAAATATTTGAAATGTATCTGTCTTCATCAAGCTAATTTACAAATTAAATGTAATCCCAATCAATAGATATATTTTACATATATATATATGTATTTATTTTTCCCACCTTTTCGAACTTGACAAAAAATGAATTTGAAGCCAAGTAGAAAGAGTAATTTTGTGATAATAGTGAAGAAAATATTGCAAAAGAAGACCCATGAGGAAGGCTTTCAGTACTAGGTATTAAGATGTTTT